TTCAGCCACCTTCACTCATCTGGGACTACTCATTTCTGCTCGCAGTGGGCATTACAAAAGGGTGTGGTACCAGGGCAAATCTAGGGAACACATGGTCACAGACCTCACCTCTGGATCTTCTATAAATGCAGCCAGAGAGCACCTTTTTTTTCCCTCCCACCCAAGATGGCTTCTGTTAGTATGGCTGCTCTCACTGGAGACCACGATGTCAGGAATTACTCAGGTAAGCTTACCAGTTTGATCCCTTTTGAAAACTGACAACAAAAAAACAGTGCTATCAAAAAGGTAAGGCATTTTAAAAAGATGACATTTAGTATGCTTGCCCCAGCACTCATCTTCTGTCCCCAAGTAGATGCCACTGAAAAATCTGTTCAAAATACACATCTTATTTTAAGGATTCTACTGAGCCTAGTAATATGTTATAACACTTAGTGGGAACAGGAATTCCTGCATGATATTTGCTCGTGCCCAGACAGTTTCACTGCACGATCCCCAGTACTTGCTCTAGAAAGCCCCGGCACTATGCAGACAGCAGAGGTGATTAGTGTTTCTCCTCTTGATCTTTTCAACATGTTTCCGGAGACATCAGGCTCCTACCTTTAGCCAAAGTGGTGCTGTAGTGTCACCTAGTGGGGATCCTTGCTGATTGCCTGGGCCGATGCTGTGATAGGAAAACAGGGCTTCAATATGACAGGAAAGGTGGTATAAATGCTTATGTTAACATTTCTTGTAGTCATTTTATTTCTATTCATTATTTCATTTGCAGCCCTAAAAGTGGGAAGAAGTTGGGGCAGCATGAAATATAATGATGATATGTAATAAGGAGAACCTACATCTGTTCAAAAGTTAAATTCCATGGTTTACTCTGCTTTATTCAGGCAGACTGCCCATCTGCTTTCATCAGACAGGGCATTGGTCCTAAATATTTAATATTCTTCTGACCCCAAGCCAAGATTAACATGTGAGGTGCTGCCAAATCTTTAACAATGCTTTCCTCCAATATTTTGCCTTATCTGCCTCTTTCACTCTCCTCATACACTCCTACATAACACTGGTTCTGTCCCTAAATGACCCCAGACATCCCCATGGAAGCTCCTGCTTCTAGCAACTAATCCTTGCGGTTGCAAAGAGTATATTACCCCAGGGATGCTGGTGTGTTATGGGAGAAGGGAAGGGTATAATGAGGCAAGGAATGGCTGTTTCAACCACAGCACAGGTGCAACAGCAGAACTGGAAATAATTTGAGGTGTTTTAAGCAAACTCCTTGATTAGAGGTGATTGGGAGGGATGTTAGCTGATTAGCTGCACCACAGGGGAATCAACAGCTAAAACTGTTGTCTCTACGAAGTGTAATAACTTAATTGCTGACTGATAATGGGGCAAACAAGAAAACAGTGACAGAACTAGGAAGGTTCCTTAGTAACCTCAATGTCACCACACTGCTCACATGGAAGAAAGCTTCTCGGCCCTCCAGGAGAAGGGGTGACAGAAAAGGGTTACCCCAGTCTAGCAGGGCTAATCAGAAAAAATAAAAATTGCGTAGAGGTACATTTTGTTTTGTTTTTTTTCTTTTAAACCTGCTCATATGCACACTGCAAACATTACTAAACTCCGTAAATGAAGTCTTAGTGTTATCCTTACTCTTCCCCTCTTCTCCCCCTGTTGCTTGTTATAGTCCCTTGTTGCATTTTGTTTTAAAACTAACTTGTAAGTTCTCTAGAGTGGAGTCTGTGTCTGATGTGTTTATATTGTGCCTAGCATGATGAGGGTCCAGCCCTGATTAAATTCTTTGGGTGCCACTGGAACATTACCATTTAAAAGATCCATATACAACCATCTAAATTCCCATAAAAATAGGGCACCCACAGGCTTGCACCCATACAAAAAGAAACAGACTTTTACAAAAATTTGTGTGATTCACCTTCAGCCCTACTGCACTGGAAAATGTGCACCGTGCTGCTCATCTTGGAACTGGAGGGGGAAAAAAGGAGCAGGGAAGTGTCCAGTGCAGGAGGTTGTAGCCAATCATATTCTTATGGTTTATTGACTTTAGGATGTGAGAAAAGTTATGGTGCTTGCCTGGGGCTCTGGAGACCAGTCTTTCATGCCTTGCTTGACTACAGACCTCTCATGTGACCTTAGGCAAGTCACCCAGGGTATGTCTGTATGGCACAATGAACAATTAGTCCTGCTAGGAAACAGGGTACGTTAGGCCAGGCAGAACACCATGCTAACGCAGCTGTACTGCTTCCAAAACTCAAAGCTCAGCTATCTCTGCACAGCATTGATTTGTTGTATATATGGTTTAGATTTTTTTTATTGTTTTTATTGGGGGGGGGGGGGTTATATACTGGAAAAATCCTGCTTAAAATTATATAAAACCTAACAATAGGACCTGATATGCAAGAACTTGACTTCACTAGGATAGAATGTGACTTCATAGCAGCTCATATTCTGCAATCACAGTAAGGATGTAGGACAGATGTCATTTAAGCAACACTTAACTTCTGCATTCTTCAGCAAGCCTGCCAGACAACTAAAGCTGTCAAAAGAAAACTGCTCTGCCCTCACAAAGTTGGCAAGAGCTGTCCTGACAGTGTAATGAGGGGGGCTACTGGAATAAGATGCCCCAAAACAAGGGGAACACATAATACAGAAATAATCTCACTCACTTTAGGACCTTTACCAATATAGGGAACTATGGGCATGTCTACACGTCTCCATACGGCAACGTTGCTATGGCACCATGCTTTAGTACTTTGTTTTGGAAGCCAAAAGGAAGTACTAAAGCATGGTGCCGTATGGGCAGTAACTGCACTGTGTGCACAGCATGCTAGTAGATTTTTGCTGCTACATTGCCATAGTGGCACACTATACCCTGGGAGTGTGATGCTACAGCGATATACCTGGCGATCACATGTAGACACACATGATCACTATATCAATGTAGTGCATTGCTACCTTGCTGCAGGGAGACATGTAGATGCACCTCATAAGCAGTAATGCTAGCCACATGTAACACCCTTTGCGCTTGTAAATGTTTGAAATTAAACAACAGTGACTTATTTTTAGCATGTGATACTCCAGCAATTTTGCCAAAGCACAACCACAGCTAAACAACATCTTGAGTTGCGCAAATCTCCCCAAACAGCACGAAGAATCATTTATTGGTAAATGTATTTTATTGGATGATTTACTAACTTCAAATTCACTTTTAGTAGGTAAATAACTAGCTTCTATTCATGACTAGAAACCAAAACATACGGGTAATACTATACCACATAAGTGTATGTACGTTTGAGTTTTTCTGTAAACCCTTTGTGCACAGTAGAATAGTTTGTGGGAAGATTGAAATAAAATGTCTCTATTACCTTACTATACATATTTAAATATTTCATTTCTCTTGTTGTAACATATAGAAAGGATCACTTATCTTTTCTTTCACGTCTTAATTCCATTTTTCCATTCTAATGTGTGAGATAATATAATGTTAATGAGTCTGATGCACAGTAGTTGCTCAGAAGAGCATTTCAAGAGACGGAAAAGGTGTCTCTTTGCTCTATTAGTTCCCTCTGTTCTGCTTTCACAACTAAAAACAGAAACTAGTTTTTGTTTTTAAATAACAAGAAAGTGAAATTACTTCCCTCATTTCACCTCTTTTAGTCCAGTAGGGTCCTGATTCCCCCACACACCCTCAGCCCCTGCACCCACCCAGCTGACTTCAGTACAGCACAACCCATAAGGTCAAGTGCTCGACATAATTAACTGTTACACAATGTCTGTCCCTCCTTGTGTTTTATAAAGGACATCCAGCTTAAATACCATTTAACTCCACTAGATGGAGTGCAAAACGTATGGCTGCATTCTGGCTAAGTAGTTAAAGCCTGTACTCTGGATCAACCCTGGGTGAATTTGAGGTTTCAGTCTCACAGGTTCTCTTATCTTTCAGCAGCACTTTGGAAACTGCTGTCTGTTCTATGAAAAGTAAGTTAGCCTTAGATGTTTATTTTGACAGTGCCTGTCAGGCAGAATCAGCCCTACTTAGATGTATTTTCTATACAAAATGACAGAGAATCAGACTTTGAACCTCTTGCAGGACAGAGATCTGTTTGTATTTGTATCTGTATCTACCACATGTGTCCATGAACTTGCATGTGAAGAAGAGCTCGAGCATTGCTCACCAACACCACATTTGGCTCCAGATTTTCCAACTTGACTAATGGAACAGGACTCTTCTGCATAACAGGATGTGATGACTTGTTTCCTTTCCTCTACTGCTAAATCAGCTACATTTGATATTAAGTACACCCTGTATATGCCCACTTCAAAGAATTATTACCTTCCATATGATTTTAGCATTTCTGTATGTAACTAAATAAAAATATTTAAGAAAAGAAAGTTAAATACTCTAAGCAACTAAAAGCTGAGGGATTTCAAGCTGAAGCTGTTTGTTTTACTAGGAAGGTTATTGGTAATCGGATGCCTAAATTGCCTTCCTCTGTCACTGTCCTTTTCATGAGAGTAATCCTAAATCTCTTTAGCAAAAACAGCCATCTTACAAACCAGTAAAATAACCATGTTTAATACAAGCTGAACACAGCAGGACCATGGCTTGTGTTTATATAATTGTAAGAGAGAGAGAAAAGTATATGTTACTCCACATTTAGGGACCCTGTTTTAGCTTTTAGAGGCCTACTAGGTTTCTAATTGTTTTTTTTTTTGGAGAGAGATTATTGATTAGTGAGAATCGAACACACACCTAGTTAAATGTATAACTTGAAATATCCAAGGCAAAATGGAAAGGATTCACAGTCATGGAAAGGTTTCAATATCTTGAACTTTTCCTTAAATTGGCTGTTTTGCACGCTACTACGGCTCGGTGTACCCTTGTTATCCTTCACACACCTCTCAGCAAAATTGGAAGGCAGGGCAGGGCAGGGCAGGGCGGAGTTGCTGCTTAACTCGATTGCTCATGACTAGTGTCATATGACAGCTTAAAGATGGCTGAAGGGGAGAGTTGCAATGCATCTGCCGCGGCACAGAAAGAAGATTTTGAGATCCTTGATAGAAACCAGATTCCTAACGTGACCGAGTTGAAAAGTGAGGAGAAAGAGAAAACTGGTGCAGAAGCAGGGTGGTCTGCTCCCATCTTTTCACTGGCTAAGAAAGCTTCAGAAAACTTATCAGTGAGCTATGGCAATGCTCTGAAGTCTGCAGCTTTGGTAGGACTCGTATCCAAACAAGTCAGCAATGACAGCACAGCAAAAACAAGTATGGTTATGTTTATTCAATAAACTTGCTTGTACTGCATACAAATAAGTTGGCTAAATCCTCTGAGTGGCAAAGAGGCTTTATTCTTGCTTTGCACAGATTAAAAAGAAATCTGATGCTGTACTGAAATTTGCAAAGGCAAGTATACAGCCCAAAAATAAATCCATGTAAAATTTCCTGTGGCCAGGGAAAGCATAAACTTCTGATATTTGGCAGGAGGATAGCCTCTAATTTGGGGGAATATGAGGTTTTATTTGCAACTTACCCAGAAAAGTTCAGATCAGATGTAGCATGACTGTGTAGAGCACTGGTGTCCTTCCTTATACCTGGGCTAAGGAGAGGAACTGTGCAGTGTTCTTGGTCATGTGACTTCTGCATCAGAAAGTCATTGTTAAATCACAAGATACTAACTCTTAAAGGAAATTAAGCTAGCAACACTTATGAATGTTGCTAGAGGGGCTTCAATTTCTTTAGCCTTTCAGTAAAATCCTGTCTCTGAGGTCTGTTAACTTTGGGGGGTTTTTTCATTGACTTAAGTAGGATCAGGATTTCTCTGTCCATGTGGAAAATATTGCTGCATACAGCAACTCAAGGACTTCTTGTGTTCTAGAAACACTGGTCAAAAATAAGAACTGCGTTTTCCAACATCATTAATTAAATGCTGCATCCCTGCTAAAGGAGGTCTAAATAAATGCCAGTTACTGCAGGAAAAGATGGCACATGAGGGGTCCATGTGTTTAAAAGACTTGACCCCTTCCTCTATACAGGAGCTGTGCATCAAGGTATCAGATCCTGAGTATACCATTCCACTGTGTCCTGTTCTACTGTAGCTAGTAAAAGGCATCGGAGAGCAGATTGTTAGTACAGCTCAGTGAAAATATTTCCTATGTAAACAGAAAAGGACTGGTAGGGGAGAGAAGGGAAAGAGGAAGAAAAAAACAGAAGAGGAAACATGGTAGGATGACCAAACAGCTGGAATTAACTGAAAAAGTTGTGGTTTTGATCAAAATATACTGAATTAGCTCAATTACCTATTCTATATCACTTCTACAAGGTTCAGGAGGACCTGGGAATTTTGCAACTAAGGTATTTTGTGGATTCCAATCAGTGCCTTGAAATTTCCACAGAAAACAGGCAGTGTGTAGCCATGAAAGAGGTACATGCTGAAATTCAATACCTGAACGGCTACTGGTAGTCAATAAACAAACCTCTGTAGTGTTAGAGTGTCAAAAGGGAAACTCAGGAGGAAAGCTAATTAGCTCCACAGTAATCTCAGTATCTATGGGCACTTTTACACATGCAAGTGATGCAGTGCCTGGCACTTTGAAAAGCACCTGGTGCTGTGATGCTTGCAGTTGTATAAGTGGTGAAATGCGCATCAGCGCTAAAAAAATTGCAGCAGTGCGCTTTTGAACTAAAACACAGAAGGTGCTTTAGTTCAAAAGTGCATGCTGAAATTTTCTGCGCGCTAACGTGCATTTTGCCACTTATACAACTGCACGGTTCACATCAGTTTGTGTGCGGAGCAGACTCGATTAATTGAGTCTGCTCTGAAGTGGCGGATCTCTGGCACGTTACAGGACAAAAAAGTGTGTGTATAAATGCCCTACATGTTTATTAGTTTACTGCAGCCTAATACAGCCACACAACACCCCAGGATAGTACTTTTCAACACCAGCGCTATCCTATGGCAGCATTATTTAATGCTCCACAAGTGTAGATGGTAACTGGGCTGGCTGGGGCACAAGGGTGCTTTAGTGCAGGGGCTACTTGCCAGCTAGCCCTACAACGGAGCACCCCTGTACCCCAGCTGGCCCTTCTGCAGCACGCTGAGCCATGTTCTGCCCTGACTCAATGTGCTGCAGTCCAGGTGCATGTTCAAATGTGATGCCGGAGAGCAATAAACTCTGGTGCAAACTGTGCTGGAGTTTATTCTGTCAAATGAACTGCACATGTAAATGTGTCCAGCGAGTAAGTAATTGGTGGGGGGGGGGTGTTCTTTCCTGAGCCCCACACCAGCCCGGTGGGAAATACTATAGTTCCTGACCAGCATCCCTGTAGATCCTGGGAAGGGAGGGCAGGTAACAGGGACCAAGGTCATCTAGGTATTGCCTTCAATAGACCTCTTCAGTCTCTGACCATGTGACTGTAGCAGAGCTGCAATACCTGTACTTCCCAATAGTCGCTTGTGCTTGTCCCTTTTCCTCTTCCCCACTCCTCACCTCTCCCTGCCAAAAAAAATAAATAAAAAGTCCCCAAATGGTGTACGGGGTGGAACTTCATGCTGTGTTACTGTCTTCTGAGAACTATGGCCAGGTGGGATGATGTGCCTTCTTGTGCCATCAGACCCTTCCATGTTCCTTGCACCACATCCAAGCTTTTGCCATGCCACCTGAAGCACCTTTCTGGGAATCTTGTAAGAGTGGTTCTCAGCCAGTGGTCTTATAACCCTGCCAGTGGCTTGCAGAGGTGCTATGGATGGGCCCAACCAACTCCTACCATGTTCTCCAAATACAGCCTAGTTTTGCAGGAGTATTTTGCTAAAAAACTAATTATTCCTGGAGCAGTACCATGCTAAGGAAGCTGTACTGCTTCCAGTTCAGGAAGTGTTCTACCTAGACCTAGTTAGCACAACACCGTATTGGTACAAAGACCCATACAGAGGTATACTAAAGCAGCTGTACTATGGTCATGTGAATCACTCTGCAGTTGCTGCAGTATCAATTTAAGAACCATTCTCCTAGAGGAGGAGGACAGGGTGGTGCTGCAAAAATGGCTGAGCTCCTCTCCCTGTGGGAAGGATGAAGATCAATATACAGAGGGTGTGCTCTTCACCCAGACAGACAGCATGCTGTCTTGCTTCTAACAAGGTCTATTCTGTTCTTGAATGATTTCTTCTATGACTTTCTCTCTAAGAAATTTTTCCAACTTGATCACTCATATTGAAAATGATTAGATTAATAGACCTAGGTACGCTGTCAAGCTTACTCGTTTTTTGTTGTTTATCATGTATATGACCTATAAGTGCCAATTATGAACCCAGATTCACTTTGCTAAGCACTGTGCAACAACAGAGGGAAAAAGATTGTTTTCTGGGACAAGAAGCTTTAAAAAAAAAAAAAAAAAAAAAAAAAAAGGGCAACCAAAAACCCCTCTTTGGTGTGTCAGTGATCTAGGCAAACAAAACAGACTATCCAGCAAAAAGAGTGAAAACTATTAAAAGAACTGTACAAAAGCCCATTAAAGAAATTTTAAAGGAGGATAAGGTTTTCCCTAATCTCCCAGCAATACTCAGATTTTTACCTGCAAAAAAAAATATTAGTAATTTTAAACTTAATATCCCTTTAAACTTCCTGTATCTCCACCTCCGCATCTTTTATAGTAGTGGTAATACACCTCACTCAAGCCCCCTGGAGATCCATAGATCTTCTCTTAAGAGGCACAAAATTTTCTGAATAAAACAAATTCAAAACTAGATAATCTATAAAAGTTAGATGCATGCATTTTAAGTGTTTGGGTAGTTTTTCAAATAGAATATGCCATGATTAGTGCAGTGCAACTAAAATTCAAGGGGTACTTTTCGTTATTAGTGTGCGCCCAAAAACTCAGCCCCAAGTGTATCATCTTAACAAATCCACACCTAGAGGAATGTTTGCCTGCAACTAGCTAGAAACTTTTAAAATGTCCAAGCTAAACCTTGCTCTCCAGTTTTTTTGTGGGGGGGGGTTGTTTTGTTTTGGGGGTTTTTTGCTATTATGAGATTCTTAGTAATAAAACTCTCACTTCAATTCCCTTAAATTCTGTACATTTTCATATCAGAATATATGTTTACTGTTTGTGTTATTTCCTTGATAGATTATGTATTCTGTAATTATATAAAATTGCTTACTTGGATCATTATGTGAGGTAGATTCCTTTGTCATTACCTGGGCCAGTAACTTGACACCACCTCGATTTTTTTTTTTATATGCAGAACATGCCTACAAATAGAAAGTACAAAAAATCTTTTTTGTAATAATTATTTTTATTTTTTGTCTGCCAGATTTTCAGTTTAGTGGTTAGTGGCCTTGGCCTAGGGGAAGTACACTAGTTTACACTAGTTTTCACTTTGGTCTCTTGCATTTAATGGCAAAGGGGAATTCACAGCTACACCAGTAGAGGCAGAAGGCAATGGACAAACTCATTAGCTGTTTTACTGTGTTATTGTGGGTGGGAACTCTTATCAGAACAGCTAAGTGTTTTTGTGCCTTATACTTACCCTGTGGTAGCAGCTCCTCTGCATGTGCTTTTGCTTACTGCAGGGTAAATGCACGTATGTGAACAGTTAAGCTCATCATCAGGCGTTTCATGATAAGTCCCTGACGCCTGTTTTAACTTGCTTTAATTTAATCATTTGTCAATTCCATTAAGGTGCAGAGAGCAGGGCTGTCAAATGTTATCTTGCCATGTATATTTGGGGCCAGTAAAAGTGTTAAAAGAACCAATTTTTCAAACTCCTCCATGAACGTACATTTATAATTGCACAACTGTTAATTTTGAGGTGGTTTATTGTTTCATTACATTATTGTAGAAGAGCGTACTTTTCACCCTAAGACGTCCTTTTTCAGTCATTCACGACTTCTCAAATTCTTTTTGGTCTGAAATTGTGAGGTCAAAGGTATCGTTCAAAAGATTGAAACGAAGTCAGCTCAGCTCTTCTAAACTAAAGAAGGGGGTGGTGTGTTTAATGCAGTATAATTCAGAGAGCTCAAACTTGAAACCTTTTTAGGCACAATGAAAACTTCTCCACAAGTGAAAAATTTGATATATATTTAAAATATTCTGTGAAACCTCACTACAATGCAGTCATAGCATTTTGTGTCTCCCTAGATAGCAAGGCCCTCCAGGCATTGACATGTTTGTTTTGGTTCTTTGAGCTGTTACAATGTTTTCCAAACTAGCACTACATAAATATTACAGGAAGAGTAGTAGCATGCAGTACTTCCCCTAATAAAACCCTCTTTTTAGTTGCTTATAAACTGGCTCAACTCAGCTACTTCAGTTTAAAAATTTCTCATACTAGTTATTTGGTTCAGTTTCCTTCCTTCTTCAATTTCCTTGAAGAATTCAAGCAAAAATATCTTGAATGAGACGATTTAATATTTACAATCCCATTGCTTTGGAGCAAAGTCTTGAAACTGAGCAGGGGTATTCCCTTTTGTGGAGTGTATGCTGTTTGCTGACTGCCTGAAAAACGGCCCAAATTTGACTAAACTAGAAACTTGGGTATTCAGAGTTAGCAGCAGCTGAACTTTCCAAGCGTAATCTTCTTTTAACACTCTTGTTTCCGTTCGGCTTGCATCCTGTTACCAAGGCGAGTTTCTTAAAGTGGTCTGGTTTAAATGTTTGAATATGAATGCATAAAAGTTGCCCTGACTTCACTAAATCAGTTTAAAATGTGGTAAAATGAATGCAGTGTTGCATACAGGCCGTGCCCTAAAAGTAGAGATGAAAAAGCCTGGATTTTCATTCGGTAAAAAACTTAAATGCAAGACAACCTTCTGCCTGACCCCTGAAATATTTTAAAGTCTAAACAAGGTTGTATAGTCTTCAGGTACACAGACAGTTTTTGTTGTGTTTGGTTGTTTTTGGCTGCTTTAGTTGTTGTGTTTGGTTGTTTTTGGTGGGTTTTTTGCATTACTAACACCCTCCCATCCAATGCAATTTTTTTTTTTTTTTTTTTGAAGGGCAGAAAGCGCGCACATTTTTACGCTATTATCTGGTTTAATTGTACTTCTTGAAGTTTGCTACTTGAGAGCTGCCCTCCCTGTTCAGCTGGGTAACCCCAAGGCAGTCGATGCGCGTGCGTTGTTGGTGGGGCGGCAAAGCTGAGCGACACATAGGAGCTGCGCTTCGGCAGCGTAGAAGGGGCGAACCCAAGTCGACTTGTCTCGAACTGATGCCTTGGCTGCTAGGCTGTCCTGCTTCAGGGCCCTTCCCCACCTTCCAATGAACGCTGGACAGAAACCAGCTATAAAGCCCGACACATTTTCAAGCGCTAACTTCGTAGCCAGCGGGCTCTCTTTCTAGCTGGTGGGACAGTATGACGTGACGAGAAGGACTTTGGATGCGTGGCCAGGCTAGGCTCACTGGCGAGTTGCGCCATGTTTGAAACGTGTGGTAGGGGCTGTGCCTTGTGGCGCCGACATGGGGCGCAGGCTGCTCCCGTGCTGCGGGGCGGACAGGGCTCGGGCCCACACCGCAGCACGGTGCTGTGCCCTCGACGGTCTCTTCTTGCTTCTGCGGTTTGCTGCGAGAGCCGCGTCGGGCTCGCCTCAGCCTGGGGGGGGCGGGGCGATCCCCTCCACCAGCGTGAGGAGCCGCTTGCGAAATGGCGCCTGCCAGCTTCCCCCGGCCGCGCTCTCGCGAGAGTCCCGCAGAACTCTCGTTGCTCTCTTGAGTCGTCCCTCCCTCCCCCCCTCGCTCTTCATTGGATGGAAAGAGAAACAGGCAGGCTGAAGAGTCCAATAGGAGCGAGGGACGGCCCGCCCCTGTATCCCTCCGGGATTACGAGACGGGGCGGGGGTTGTTTTGGTTCTCGCACGCCGATTGGCCTGGCGAGGAGGAGGCTAGA